ACGATTAAATAACGCTAAACACGTAAAAAAAGTTTTTGTGAGTTTGTATAGTTATTTTGTTTTTTCCGTATGTGATATCAACACTTTATACAGATAAAATAAAAAAAAATAATAAAGAGCACTAAACGTACTACTTGGCCCCACAATTCCTTGTGACCCTTGATGGGCCCCCGATACAAAGTATTGTAAAAATATTAACAAAAAAACAACAACCTAACAAAAAGGTCTTACGTTGCACCATGTTCAGTGTCACAGCGCAGACCCCCCCCCCCCCCCCCCCCTGGTATTAAAGTTATAAACATAATTTTAGACCAGCTATTTGACAATCTCCGTCTGTAGGTTGTAGCCATCAGCTCCCTCAAGTGATTTGCGGGAAAGTTAATGCTCCAGGTTTTTTAGAGTGCCTGCCCATCGCCGGCATATTTTCTCTTTATATTTGACAAACGAAACGTGCTATCAAAACAACTTTTTCTGATGGGAATTTGGATTAAGGAGAGAACACCCAGTTTTGTCGCAAAAGATTGAGCGACGCGGAATATTTCTAAAGTCATCGTTTAGTAAACCCTAAGACTTAAGAAAATAGACTTGAAAAAAAAAGTGTATTGTTTTGTGCACCTTTTCGTTAATATTTTAGTTCGAACCAGGTCGCACACCGCACAATAAAAATCATTATTGTCCGCTATGCCGATTCTAGCGAAACGAGTCCTATAGATGGATACACATTTGATTAATCCGGATTCAAACTGGATACATTTTGGAATCGTCCGGATTCAAACGGAAAATCTACTCTGTTCGCAGCCAACGCTACGATCTGGTGGACCCAATCAAGCATTCGCCAGATGTACATCGTGGTTGTGTTGTTCGTCACAATGCATAATTTTGTTGTCCCTCGTTATGTCCAAGTTTCGAGTGATGAATCGAGTAGGGCTGTACCTCACTGAGATGTAGGACAGCTGACTTTCCAAAGTTAATGACATTTAAATAAGAAACTTTATTCCATCACTGGTTAAAAAAAAAAAGCTTGTGCATATAGATACAATGCACAAACTGTACGCTTTTTTTTTATGAGCTGACGTTTTGCGTATATCCCATACATGTTCGTTTTTGTTTTGTTTTTCTTGCCCCAGACTGCGCCAAAGTGCTTATCCTGCCACATCCTTTCACCTTTCGCTAAAAATTTATTGGTTTTTGGGGTCATGTTGGGATTGCGATTTTGAGGGCAATTTCTATTTGAGGCCAGGCCAATTTAACGAGTTTGCGAAAAGATAATGTTTTTAATATAATAATCAATCAGTTATCGCGTTTCCTTGTCCAATTTAAAAATTGCGCTTCAAAGGAGCTCTAGCTACAACGACGCTTGGAAGAGTTACGTCATCGTTTCAACCATAAAAAATAGTCAGAGTGCAGGCGAGCTGGTGTAAGTTGAACATGATTGTAAACCTGAGACTGGGGCAGGAAGAGAACACAACAGAAGGTAGTAAAAGAGGAGGCAACGGCTCAAACTCAGCTGCAAAGTTTATTTCGAACAAGCTTTATGTATATGTTCGAAATGAACTTTGCAGCTGAGTTTGAGATGTTGCCTCCTCTTTTACTACCTTCTGTTGTGTTCTCTTCCTGCCCCAGTCTCAGGTTTACAATCATGCTTCAACCATCTCGTCACCATGGCTGCGTCCCCAAATTTACTCGATCCGACTCAGAACTGGTACTCCAGAAGCCGGTATTGTCTACTCCGGAGTAATTACTCGCGGTATATCCTCCTCCCACGGGTGGGTAACGTCGGATGAAATCGACTAAATACGTTACGTGATATGTTCGCCCTGGTGCTCGTCGCCTGCTTTCTACGCCCACAGCCGTCGAGGCTCGCTTGGTGGCAGACGTTCGAAATGGATTTGGATTTGGATTAGGATTTGGTGACAGACGTTCCAAATGACAAAGAATGAGGTGCAGCCTGTTAGGTTTGGAGATTGCGCTTTGCTGTTTTCAACGCAGGAATTGGCTGTGCACCAGATCCAGACCATGCACCTTTCCCGGGAAGGTATATTTGTTATTGTTATGAGAGTCCGAGCGTAAACGGGAGTTTTTCCGCATCCTCGTTCTCGGCGTTGAAGGGAACTCCGTGTTCTTACGTTCAAGGCTGAAAATGTTCGAACGCAGTAGATGATTTGGAAGTTATTTTCTTTTTAAGACTCTGCGTAATGAGATGATAACGCTAGTAAAGCAGTGAAGACTTCAAAGATTTCATGTATATGACCAGTCAACAACCTCAATCCCCTCTCCCTCCCCAAGAAATTGCCTATAGCGGATTGGAAGTTCTCTCTTTGATGTTGTAATCATATCCGCGTCAAACCGAAGGTGCGTTACATTTTATTGTTGAGGAAGCTCTCTGTGCTTTACCGCTGCACCATGTAGAAGCGGATTCTAAATTTCCGCAAAACGTAATTGGTGCAAATTACGATACGTGGAACTTATATGTTTAGGGCACCTGGGCTAGACTTACAGCGATCGCGCTGATTGATACAAAACATTTTTTTTAATATCTATGTTTAACTGAAAGGAGTAAGTAATTTCGGTCTCATATTCAGTCCAAAAGAAAGGTGAGTAAATGGAGCCGGTGGAGTCACTTAAAAAAAAAAACAAAAAAAAAAAAAAACACCGCGTTGTTAATGACACAAAAAATTGCAGCGGTTAATAACATTGTCTCTTCGAGCGCCTTCTCCATGATCAAAAGCGATCGTCTGCTGTTTTCCGTCATCGTCGCTGCGTTTTCTTTGTGCCATAGCCCAAGGCGAAGCCAATCCGTGTATAATATCTCCAGGGGATAATCCCCACCGTTCCACAATCGAGTCGGGGATTGTTTACTCGTGATGCCACGTGGTATCACCCGTTCACGTAGGAGAGGTTACTCGGGTAAGATTTGGGACATAGCCTATCTCGGCAGCGTGCTCTTGAATGGAGCGCCAACGACACACGTGACGACGTGACATACACGACTACACGTCACACTTCCAAGCAAGCAACATTGTTGGCAAAGCTTAATGCGTGGTTTCTTTTTCTTTTTGCACAATATATTTATTCGATGAAGAAACGCGAAAAATTGACTGATTAGTTTCTAAAATACCACTACCTTATCGTAAATTGGTTTAAGTTGGTCTGGCATCTAATAGCAATTGCTGTCCATACTGCAATTCCAACATGTCACTTAAAACCAATAATTAAAAAAATTTAATTAAGTTTTGTAGTTACTTAGTTGGCTTAACGTGGTGATTATTCTCTCATATACTGGCCGCCAAGCCTGATAAATATATGGTGAAAACAAGACTCGTTTAACTCTTTCCCTCTCTTTTTCACACACACAAAAAGGTCTGTTCAATAAATTATTCTGTACAATAGTATATATATACAATAGACTGCGATATTCAGGCGATATATATTTCAAATGCAAAATTTAGCTAGGTACTTGGGCATTGCGGGAAAATACATCTTTATAAGTTTATTTTTGTCAATTAAATTTTTTAGTTATCTTTCTATAGCTTCCATTTGTTCGGTGGCACAGTCGATAGAATAAATTAAAATTACGTTGGCGGGAACAGCGGATGGAAGCTTTGTAATAACCTTAACCTGGTTGGCTGAATTGTTTTTCAAACGGCATATTTGTCGCTCGGATGCCGATTTTCGTTATAATTATGTTCGACATGCAAACTGTAATTGAGGCTCATTGTCAAATGACAAAAGCTTTACTTTTTTTTTTATAAATTATAAATTTTAGTGTTATTACAAGCGTCAGAACTTGAATGAAACATCAATATGGATGTTGTATGGTTTGCCAAAATAACAATTCACAGCAGTCTATACTGTTGCTCGTCAGTTAGCATCTTGTGGCCTTGCATGGAGCTTCTACGCGCAACTAAACAGATTGTATTTGAAGGAAATTAAACAAAAGGTTGCACACAAGCGGGGAGAAAAATTCAGAGACACCTAAGCACTTCCTATGAGTTGTGAATGTGAAACCATGAATGTCGTTCTTCCGCTTCTTTAGTTCATCTGCGGCGTAGTGGCGTGGACGGCCATGTTTCGCTCCTGCCGAGGTAGCGGCCGGCGGCCGAGCGCGCGCTCTCTTTAAGTGGCCGCGCCGCGCTGAGCTTGGCCGTGCAGCCTCTTCGGAGTTTGCCCGTACGGGCTCTGCGACCAACCGCTCCCTCTTACCAGCGGCCAGGCCGCCGCGTGCGCTGCGCCGCCATGTAGAGGGCTTCTCTGGTGGCATTCCTTGGAACTACGCCGCGCGAGAGCCGTAGGGGTTTTAGTTCTTTGAAGCTATGACCCACGCCAGCCAATGGGAGCCTGTCCATCAGATTTCTGCTAGAGACGACAGGCTTCACTCCATTGGGACAGGGGAAGGTGCCGTTTGGCGCGGCTTCAAAAGGTGATGACGTCGGTTCGCTCCATGGTACAGTTAATGCCTTCGCATTAACAAAGTAGACATTTTCCCTCAGTTGGACAGGCCAACACATAAATCTTTACGTGATATTCGCTCTGGTATTGATAGAAACGAATTGTGTGCTTATGCTTCAATGTTATTTTTGCTGCTCCAAAATGACATTTGGCATCTCCAAAAGGCTCTTCAAATGATTTGGACCAATCACATCACTACTGTCGCTTATCAGATTAAAACGGCCTATTTAGGCGTGTCTAGATCTCACATAAAAAGGACTGTCGAAGGTATAGCCCTAGAAACGCAGTATAAACACGTTGGATCTAAATTTTATCTGCCTAGATACAAATTGTATTTAAACTGGATTGAAACTGAGTTAGTTGGCATATAAACCGGATCCAATCGGATGCACCCGGATTAAGAGTGGATTTAAACTGGATACTGTCCGGGTCCAAACCAGGTTAAAAATGGGATCCATCCGCATCCAAACCGAATCCACATTTGATCTACCCGGATTCAAACCGGATTTCATCCGGATTCAAACTGGATCTTTCGCCGTCTCAGCGGCGCCATGGTGGGTCCCGAGGACGGAGACGGCACCCTACACGTGCCCCACGGCCCCCCGCGGACGGCGCACAGCTCGAGGTCTACGGGCTCGGCCAAGGCGCGCATGCTGTTCGAGATGGCCGCCGCCAAGAGGAAGCAGATAGCCAAGGTCGTTTGGATCATCGTCGTCATTCTCTGCGTCCTTGGATGCCTCTCACAGGTATGCGCGCGTCTGCCTTTACTTGAGCCCGCCTTTTTTTTTAAAAATTATATATATATATATATATATATATATATATATATATATATATATATATATATATATATATATATATATATATATATATATATATATATATGTTTGCCAAGTGCAATTGTAGCTAGTTCCACCTGGCGAGTCCCAGTTCCTGTCCAGGGGACCACAGTCCTAAATGGCTTTCCACATAGACACGCTGGACGCGTTACGCGTAAGTGCGGTCCAAACCAAACTGGATTGCAGGTTGCGGGTTGTGAAATCCCGTAACCTGCAATCCAGTGAGGAGAAGATAGAGTGCGTCATCTGCTTGCACTGCCTATCGGGAGATGGCGCCACGCGTTACGTGCGATCGCTGACTCGATCTTTTGCGAACACGTCCGCCCGTCAACCCTGGCAAGTTTGTTGATGTCGTGTTCCACCTAAAGAGAGCTATGCCGTAAAACTTCATGAGCTAAAATGTCGCACCTCATAGCACATTCGGTGAAGGTTTGAGCTTTCTACATGCAGGTGTAAACTTATCCAGCTTTTTCTTCTTTTTTTTTTTAGTAAGATTGACTGAAGCCGCCCCCGTATAGACGTTTGTTTCGTTTTCTTTCGTCCTCAGTCCGTTCCGTATCTAGTATGCGGAACGAAACAATAATAAAACATTTCAAGCTGGAATAATCGAGGAAGGATAGGTGCGGCAAAGCAGGAATCTGTGGCAATTACACATTTTTTTGGGGGGGGGAACACCTAGAGGAGTAAAATATCAAAAACGATGTCTTACTGCATACCACAAGTGACCACATTCAAGATGGCCGCGCCCTTGTCAAAAATATGTATAATATTCGCAGAATGTATATGACGTTTTGCAGTCAGCATGCCGCTTCACAAATGCGATTTTCCTTCGTGTTGGCAGGTGTTTATCTTCATGGAAATCTTCTGGAAGTTCCCGACCATCATCGAGATTGAAACAGAACGCAGCGACGATCTCGATTTCCCTGGTGTTACCATCTGTAACAACAACAGGCAAGTACCTCTTTAGTCGATTACAACCGCTTGTGATATCTTACGTGGAGAGCAGAGCCGTATATGGGGAGAGCTTGGTCAGTCTATGATCTCGGCGCCGAAACGCTCTCCTCCCGAGTGAGCCAATCAGCACGCGGCGCAGAGCGAGTGGCATGAGCGCATGCGCGTGAACTCTTGGCTGCTCCCAGCTGAGTAGGCAGGGCCGCCATTTTCGTTCATTCTCCCGGCGGTATGCATGGGATCGGCATCTAAATCTCGAATATGTCTTTTTATATCGCTAGCTCTGTCTAGAAAATGATATGCTGTTATTCATGGGTGGGTTAAAAAGCTATTAAATGAATTTTTCTCAACGTATGGCCACAAACTTTCATTCAGCGAAAAAGAAGTCGGCCCGTAGCAGACGACGCGTAGCCTCAGCAGTGCTCTTCTCCGACCAGTCTCCGACAGCGTTGCTAAAAAAATGGCGGTCGTCTCCTCTCCGCTTCCTTCTTTCTCTCTCGCTCCTTCGGCGCTCTCCTCCCTTTCATTTACTTTTCTCCTCTCCGGCGCCTTCGTCGCCACACCCACTGGCCAAACTCTCCCAATATACGGCTCTGGTGGAGAGAACACACTAGCGCCATCCTAGGGTTAATCATGGAACAGGTGCAATTTCCCTACATTTCTTTTTTTTTTTTCGCTCATAACTTTTTTTTATTTTGACTTGAAATTTAAAAGCGTTTAAGAATGTTACAAACTACCATATCTCATAAATGGTATGTACATGTGACCTTGCAAATACTGCAAAGCCTTCGCTCTCTTGAAGTGCAGTTCCAGGGTCACCTTGTAGATTGCGCTAGCGTGCCGGTGTGTTTAGGAGTGCGCAAGAGAACACAAGAACTTGGTCGTAAAGAAAGCGCGAGTGTTTGAACCATGCCTTATATACCGGGCCGCGAAACAAGAAAGGCATGGTTACCTGCAGCAGCGCCTGTGGCGTTAGCGTTTCAATTGGGCCGTACCGTGATCGCCCTGGGTCGGCAACCTGTCCATCTTCAGAATCCGGCTGTCTCAGTGGTGCCGGCTCAATGGGGACACCGACTGCAAACCGAAAACCGGGAAGTCCCTCTCTCCTAACGTGGTGAGTATAACGGCGGAGAGATCGTCAAACTCTTTCGGAACATTTCTGAAGCGGCTGTCTCACCACTCGTACATCTATCTGCTCATATATATAAAAGACACTGAGTACTCCGCAGACATGATGACAGAAATATCCGCGGACACGCGTCGAGTACCTTTGAAAACAAAGACGTGTCCGCAGACGGTTTTTGATTGACCAGTCTGACAGACTCGCTTAATGGGAACAGCGCTAAAAGACGTAGGAACAGTACTGAGAAACACACACACGGGGCGCTGGCATCGGGCCCTTTTCTGTGTCGGCATCCTGTGTGTGTGTGTTTCCTCGTCCTGGTCGTCCCACGTCCTTTTAGCGCTTTTCCCACGAAACAAGTGTGCACCATCAACTAGCCTCACTGCGTGCCTTGTTGCAATCTGACGGGGCCCTCGTACGAGGAAGAAACGCGCCCCAGACAGTAGCTGAAGATTGTATACGATGTATCAGGATTGGCCTACGATCGGGAACGCTCTTCTAACAGACTATCTTTGAAGAGGCCGTTATGCATCCTTGTCGTTAGCGTGGCGTCGCCTTCGACAGTGTGCTCGCACAGCCTTGTAGCGTGAAGGGCTACCGAAAGGAGTAATTTCACGACAGATAGAAAATCGTAAAGGAGAAAAAAAAAAAAAACTAGCTCGGATGGACCTATGAGCAGCAGAAAGGATGGTGACTCCAGCCGTAGACAATCCACCCTCCCCCCTCCCCCCCCCCCCTTCCTCCTTCTCAGAAGCCCCTGATTGTATTTACTTGAGCCGTAATGCACCCAAAACAAAGCACTGATAGCCTATCCAATGATTCGGCGTTTCGCCATTCCTCCTTATCGAGACGGCTCGTGACCACCGTGATTTATTAAAGTGACCATAATCTTTTTGCAATGTACCTTTGGTTAAATAATAAATGCGAACAATAAAAGCAAACTTAAGTTTAAAAAAAGGCGTCTGCATAACGACGGCGCTTTTGCTGCCAACGGATTTCGTCTGCGTGTCGTCTGCTTTCTTTCGCTGGACGGCTGCAGCTTTCGACGCTGCTCCCAACGCCATATATGAATACTCGCGCCAAACGCGCCCCGCCACTCGACTTGGTCGCCTGCGTTGCCCTATTTTTCGCCCTACTTTTTTACAAAACGGAAGCTAAGCTCTCTAATTTTTGCAAGAAAAAACTGACCTGTGAAATACCCCTTTGATGCAAAGTTTAAATTGTTACCTGCCGGTGTCGATTCTTACGGTCCATTTTAGATCGAGCCTGGTGACTTGGAACACCAGACAAGGCGATGTTTCCCTCTTACGGTAGTTGGACGGAATATAGTATCAAAATAGCTCACTTGTTGTCTTGGGTGGGCGTGTCTTGGGGAAAAGGATACCAATTAATCGTCCGCCGCATATTCCGACGCAGGACGTCCTTCTACGCACCATGAACAAGACCCTGAAATCGGAGATTGGCCACCAAAAAGCTACCATGATCTTCGAGACGTCCAAGATTGTGAACGGATCAGTGTGAGTTGATCGTTCGCGAATCATTGGACTAGTTGTGCACGGAGAGGCAAGATAACTAAATTGCAGGATGTATATATCAAGAAAACTATACAGTACAGGGACCTTTCGTTATTTTATGGAATCGTTATAAAAGCTTTTAGAAAATTTTCAGTGAGAGTATGCATCGTCCGTTCCAAGTAGCATATGAAATGGCATTGGCCCTCTATTTTCGTATTTAAAGTTTCCAAAAGTACGAAACAATTTTTTTTTTAAATGCTTCGAGCAAGGGAAATGTACGTGCTTCCAGAATCAATGCTCTCACGGTGTGCAAAATGTAAAACGGATGCCCGACGTGTTCTTCCCCAACAGTTCGACAGTATTTGACTGAAAAAATCAAAAGGCGCTTGTGCGCATATATTGATGGAAATACTTAACCCACCTGCCTGGAGCACGTAAAAACTGTTGGCCCATCGCCACAACCATGGGCGTACCAACCGGGGGGGCAAGGGGGGGCACTTACCCCCCCCCCCCCCCAGCTATCAGAGTGGGGGGGGGGGGGCAAGGTATCGTCCCCCCCCCCGCCCCCCCCCCCCCCCCCCCCCCCCCCGAAACAGCCCGCCACTAAACAGGGCAAACACTGGCCGGAGGCGCCCAAGGAATACCAAGGGCACCGCCCCCGGCCCTGGCGGAGGGCGGGGGGGGGGGGGGGAGGGATCTGATTTGCCTCCCCCCCTCAAAAACAAGTTAGTACGCCGCTGGTCACAATGTATACACCACGTCATGTTTCCGACCTCACAAAAAGGCGGTGACGCTGACTGCGGTACAAAGGAGCATGCGGCAACACTTTGCAGTGCCACTTTGGTTTCCATACTCGCGCGCGCGCCCCCAGCACTAGTGGAAAAAACGCAAGATTCTAGAAAAAGAGTTCGTACATCGCACCGAAGTGGGAAGTAACAACAGGGACTTTTAGAAAACCTTTAGCGTGTTCCGCGTACCGCACTATCAGAGCCTTCGAAGCATGTTTATCAGCGCGTGCCCGGGTGATACCATGACCGCGGGGCCCACGTTTAAAAGCCTGCTTCTAAGGCTCCGGTAGTGCGGTACGCGGAACACGCTAACGGTTTTCTAAAAGTCCCCAATGTCTGGTTCAGACAGTTGCATTGGCTGCGTTCAGAGCGAGAGAAACGATACCAACGTTAGAGTCACGGGCGCAAGTGTTTGCGCGAATACACAACGTGATGAAGCAACGGAAGAAGTATAGCTTCGTGAAGTCGTCACGAGTCAGGGTTCTTCCTGTATTCCTCGTTCGCTGCTGTCGTTTTGGTTGCAGCGAACGCAACCGACCCGAGTCTCCGAATTACGGTGCCGTATAGAACGGGTCTCCGACTGGTGTGTTTACCGCGTCCCAAAGTGTGGTCCCTCAATTTCCGCCTAATGACGTCATACAAGTATCATGTTGTCGCCGGCCACCAGGTGTCGGGACGTTGTGTCGACAGCGACACTCGCGTTCGTTAGTGCTTTTCAGCATGGCACTCCTGGTTTTGTGACGTCATTCGTTGCCACTGTGGGACCACTTTTGACGTATTGGCACGATAGGACGCTTAACACACTATTCGAATTACATGTTCCAGCTGGCACTGCGTACTCCGAATCAGCCTTGATGGCTACCACGTCCGCCTTTCTCTCGGGATCGTGGTAGCACGTGGAGGATAGCGTGAGCACAGATACGCTCGAAGCGTGATCTTATCAGAAACCGACCCAACTTATATAACAGCGTGAAGCAAAGGGATCAATGGCTGTTTGAAGGGCCCGTATAAAACGGTTTCTGAAAGTACGGGGCTCGAATTTCGTACAGGGGTGGCAGAAGAACCAAGGTTTTAACAATTCCGCTGAACCAACTTACTCGAGTAAAAAGTTAGAAATAAATAAACTTTAGGTCACTACCTATTAGCGTCCGTCTGCTAACGAGAGGCGTCCGATTGGCGCAACAGCCGACAAATAGCGGCAGTGCTCTCTGCGAAAACTAGAGCCACTAAATGAGCGCGCTTAGAGTATCGATACACCGTTCCCGATATTGTCGTGGACGCCGCCATTTTGGGGCTTGTGCAGAGAAGACGCAACTGCCAATCGTCATGATTCAAAAGTGCGACTTCCTCAGCATTAGATTCGGTGTTAGGAAGCTCACGTAATATTGCTTTGCTCTGTCGCGAATTGTTTAGACATGTGTGGAGGGCTGAAAAGCGTTTCCCCTGATTTCAGATAAAGCTTCAGATAACTGGCAACTATTATTTTAAGACACAATATGGCCAAGTGTCGTTACTCTGAAGCGCAGCTTATTTAGTGGCACTAGCGCCAACTAGCGCCGACACGTAGGGTTCCGTGGCGGAGGCTCCGAGTGCAGCATTTTTCAGCGTCAGCTTCGGCGATGACAGATCTATTGTCGGTGGCTAGTTTTGGAAATTTACCTCTTTGTCGAGGTGCCTCACCCAGCGTATAACTGTATTCGCGGTGCGAAGCTCGCTAGGGCCTTTTCTGTTTTTCTCATTATGGGTAGCGCACGTGCTACCCACGCAGTTAAGTTTTAATTTTCATAATGCATAAAAGCTCGGCATTGCACGTGTTTTCACCAACAAAGGAAATTGAAGTATCCTCACTCTGGGTTGTGAAAAGATTCCACCAGGCGGCGATGCCCAAACTTCTCGCCGGAAATATCGAAGCCCGGAGGTCGCCGTCGAATCACGGCACGAAAACGTCGACGGACCTCTTCTGTCCTTTGGCACTCCCCGTACCAGAGAGCAGCCTTCACTCGCTCACTGGGAGCTAAGCGCACAATGGGAATGGCTTACACCCCATAACAGCACGGGTAAAAGTTGCAGACAAGAAAAGAGACGCGGTAACAATCAGAGAGTGCAAAGCAGACGACGACTTATAGTCAGAAATGATTGTTGAAAGAACGAGACAATACATGTTTTGTTTTCTTTCGTTTTGTGTTGATTTTTTTATGTTTTATTGAATTCGCGCAGAAAAAAAGCGCATCACTTCTGGCTCAGAGCCCGTCGTGGCCGTCTGCGATCTTATGTGCCTCCATCTGTTACCTGTCGCGCCAATCAGACGCGTTTCGTTTGCAGACGAACGCCATATGTAGAGATTTCAAGTTTTTGATTTCTAACTTTTTACTCGGGTAAGTTAGTTCATTGAGATTTGAATAGCTATAATGCACGTTCTCCGGCCAATTCTGTTTAAAATCGTAGCTTGATACGTTCAGAAACTGATTAATGCGCTCACTTCAAACGGCCATCAGTCCCTTTGTTTCACGTCGTATACATCGGCATTTCTCGACCTCGCGGCTGCCTTGCAGGGAAGTGAGGGACGACCTGGGATTCCGCGACGAGTTCTTCCACCTACGCTACAGCAACTGCTACTCCTACAACGTCGAGTGGACCGGGTCTGGTGTCAGAGAGAAAGAGATTGCTCGACAGATCGGTACGTGACATTGCACTTTTACTCCGATTGCCGCCCTCGGCTAACACGGCAACGTGCCGCATGAACCGCGTTTACGACCGATTCCGACTAGTGTATTTATCCATTACCTAGAAGACAAGGACTACGCAAACACAGTGAGGGCGGAGGCGAGCTGGTGTAAGTTTCCCATTTACCATGATAGCAGTTTATTCCAAAAACGAAAAAACGTTCAGCCTTTCCATTCTCCTGAAGAAGGAAGACCAGCGGAGCTGTACTCGATACAGTGTGTGCTTCTTCTTTGTCGCCGTATGTTTTTCGCGCTGTTTCCTACGATGAATTCCCACCAACGCACCCAATTATCCATTCTTCTATTATAGCTGGAAAGGTTGCCGCCATCTACGAGCGGCGGCGGAAACCATACTGGTTGTGTGCTTGCCGCCGTCGCTTATAGATGGCGGTAGATGTCCAGGTAGGTTTGTGTCGACATACACGGACACGATCCTGGGGTACCTAGCCCTTAATAGCTCCGCTGTAAAAAATTGTGTTTATATTACTGCGCACGTCAGAAAGGCCTACCCGTTCGAATAATTCCACTTTTTTTATTACTCTTTTTCTAGACTTGCGGGTCATCCTGTTTCTGGAGCAGCGAGAGTACCCCCAGGTGGACGAGTGGCCCGGGGCGCAGATCGTCTTCCACGACCCCGAGGTTATTCCGGACCCCGAAGAGTCCGGCATTCCCCTGCGCGCCGGGCACAACTACATCTTCACGCTCAGACAGGTATACAAACGGCCTTCGAAGCAGACATAAACACGAAATGAACTGGAGACATATGCTTCAAGCATTTCCTAAGCACGTTTGCTTCATACGCACGTACGCTCGGAACATGCGTCAGGACGGTTTTCGTACGGCCAATGTCACGGGCCTAACCGTAGGTTGTGCACGCGCTGCCCGCGCGGTTATGTTTTAATTTTCGTAGTGCACAGAAGCTTGGCATTGGCTTCGATGCACTACGCAGAAGCTTGGCAGCACGAGGAAGCTGAAGTATGCTCACTCTGCGTTGTGAAAAGCAAATTCCACCGGGCGGCGATTCATAAACTTCCCGCCGTGATTTAGTGCTGTGCGCCGGGGTGGCGCTGCTATGAGCAGTGGTTCATTAAAGAGACACTGGGAGCCCCAGGGCACTGGACGCCCAAAAACGTTGGTGTGTGCGTGTGCGTGTGTGTGTGCGTGTGTGCGTGTGCGTGCGTGTGTGCGTGTGTGTGTGTGTCCGCGCGCGTGTGCGCGTGTGTTCGCGTGTGCCCGTGTGCGCGTGTGTGCGCGTGCGTGTGTGTGTGTGTGTTTGTGTGTATTAAGTCCCTGCGCAGAACACGTATTCCGAGAGCTCCTTTCATTTTGAAACGTCGTCCTGAAAGTCCACCACTAAATTATATTTAAAATGATTTTTGCGAGTTTAAATATTGCGCTAATAATTTTTTTGAAAAGCTAATTTTTGACGTGCGTGTTTTATACAAAACCATTTGAAAGGTGTTTGGGAGTTTAATGCGCATTTAAAAAGGTCCAGGCGCGTTCCTCCATCCATCCATCCATTCATCCATTCATAAAGGAACAAGTGCAAAGTGTCAGGCAATGATTTCGTCGGTGCTTATCATCGGCGCATCTTGCCTCTAAACTATACCGGAATACAAGTTAAGAATGCGCCAGGAGCTCCTTCCACATTCTCGTTATCGCCGTCCAGTGTTCCTCCGCGCTGCTCAAGTAGTCCGCTGTCAAGGCGGACATCGCGCTTGTGGCAACTGCCTTTCATGTCCCCCCTCGCAACGAGCGCTAAGCATACACGTGGCGTCTCCGAGGCGAACGGGTCTATGTACAGCTTGGCGTGCTTTGCAGCGTCTCTCGTCGAACTACAGCGTGTTTTGCCACTTGACGCGGGTCGGGGATTCACTTACGACGTCGCCTCGTCTTCGTGGTGGCGTCGGTCTTGTACGTGGTGGTGGTGTTTATTTGGCGCCACCTTATAACCATTGTGTCCGACCGTTTTCCAACACCTATTGCTGAGTGCCGTTACCGGAAAAAAGAACTATAGGAGGTATTCACTGGACGCCATATTTGTGGGTGCTGTTTAGAGCGCATGCTCAGAACGAGCTCACATGAATAGCCTGCTAATACCGGCAACCTTGATGGTGCTAAATGCACGTTCCAAAAGGACTGCGGAAGCTCGCCGTCAGCACGCGCTTAGCAGCAGCGCACACGGATATGGCCGCCAGTGAATACTCCCTATAGGTTTGACCAAATGAACTGATCACGGAACAATAGTTTTTTGCTTTTAATATTCCTTCCACTGTGCCAGATGATCACCAAACGTCTGCCCAAACCCTACTGGACCCGGTGCGTGAACTACCCTTTCATTCGACGAGAGAGATACGTGATGAAGATGACGAAACAGGTTAGTGTGCACTTACAGGGATTGCATACTGGAACTCGAAAAGCAGTTAAAGAACCATTTGAAAGGCAAAACAAAAAGCTGGCTTTAATTATTTTTATTATACGAATTGCTTAGAAAAGTTGGTTATAAACGGGTTTTGTGGCTGCTTGGTTAATAGCGTCGGATTAGCACTTTGTTTGCTCAATACAAGAACCTGCCTGTGTTTATGCAGCATTGCGTTAAAATATACAGAGTATACATAATAAAAGAAATTTTCATATATAAAAAAGGATAATCGCAGGCTACTTTATAGACGCGTTAATTTCAACATTCTGAACACATCTAATTTAAATATTAAAGGACAGATTGTCATTTTTTTTAATAATTATAGCAAAACTAAGAGGAGGAGGAAGGATTGATACCTTCCCTTTTATGCATTTTTTTATCGTCTGTTTCTATTGTCTACGTGCATCTAAAGTTCCCTTGTACTGTAGGCAACGCGAACCATTGCACTCAGCTTTCCTCTTTGCCCAATACCTGCACCCTCCAATATTTTTTCTATCCCATCCCGGCAGCCGCCGCCATTTTTGAGCTCGCCAGGCGGTGAGAGCAGTCGAGAACAGGTTCCACGGGGTTCGATTTTCGTCAAAGTGAGATCAAGAGCGTTCCCGGCTGTTGATTTGACGTGACGTCACAGCTTGCACGCAATCAACCATTGAGAGAGCTTTGACCCGTTTCTGGGGTCCACAATCGGGTAATACTTTGGTGAGTGAGAACGTCTCGCCAACAGAAAATAGCGAGAGAGAGTCCTCGCGGCGTCTGTCGTGCTTGTCCTTAGAAACTCTTTCAACCACCGGTCGACTTCAGCTTGTGTACGGCAGCAGAACTTGAGACTCGCAAATTAGGTGCGAGTTGTCAGTGGCTTCCAACGTAAAATAGCGGACGATCCCAATTTCAGCCCGCGTGCGATATTCGTAGCAGACGATGAACATTTTTTTTTTCGGTCTCGGACACTGTACGGTGTCATCTCGTTTTCTTCACGTCTGCGAATGGCGTTTCGTAGCAGACGAATCGCGCTCTTGGCTCGCGTTAGCAGACGAACCGTCTACGAACGCTACCTTCGCTCGCTCCGCGAGAGGCACATTACATCTCGCTCTCACTTCGCGGTGACAAAAATCGGACCCCCGAAACGCGTCTCCGACTGGTCCGTTTAGCGTCCAATCCCGCCCATAACTCAAACGAGGTTCCAAAGTGGCGTCGTCAAACAGCATGACACTCCGAGTTTTGCAACGTCCTTCGTGGCCACTTCGGAACCAGTTTTGATGCGCGGGGGCAGGATAAGACGCTACACACGCCAACCGAAGGCGCGTTCCGTGACGACGCGTCAGCTGAGTGCCTCGCGTGCTTTCGCAGTTGTGCGAGAAAGAGTGCGCGTACAACGCTTCGCTCAAGCTGTGCCGCTGCATACGGACGGACGTGGCCCTCCCCTACGACGTCGAATGGGACGTGCAGCCGTCTGGCAAGAGGCGGTTCTGCGACACCGACATCCCATGTGAGTATAAAGGGGAGCGAGAGCCGCTAAGACTCGCCGCGTGATTGCACGTCTAACGGCCTACGCTTACCGGTTCGGGGGTGACCACCTAGAAGATAGTAGAGAGTTTTGCCAGATGGTTTTTTTCGTCCCGATAACGATACCTCCTCTCCCCTCTGGCGGCCTTGGGCATGCATCCTATCGTTATCGGGTGCCGTTATCGGGGCGAAAGGACGATCTGCTAAAACTCTCTACTGACTTAAACGGGCGGCGCTGCCCCCTGGACCCACTTGCGATGACGTTTGGGGTGGAAAGTTGCGGGCCTTTTCTTCTAGGCGGTATTGGTGTGACCCACTGCGATGCAACTCTCTCCGTTCCACAGCGACGCGGTGCGCGGAGTTGAAACGAGGTGGCGCCAGTGGGAAAATGGCACACGAACGCGCTTCCGGTCCGCAACAACAGACTGAAAGGGGCAGTGACACATCAAAATAATTTTCTTTATTATCCGAAACGATTCACAACGATGCCGGGACAATACCCTCAAAATTCTGAACTTGGAAATTCAGTATTTGTAAAGTAAAAAAAAAAAAGAAGAAAATTCCCAATAGCCGATTTTGAAGTTCCTGCGCGATCCGCTCCAGTGTGGTGACGTTAAATATTGCGGAGCCCTGAGAGTCGACTTTCTTTCACGCCTCCGCCTCTGCTACTACCGCGACCCGAAGCGAGGAGGTGAGGAGCGTGAGAGAAGTGCGCCGGCGGACCGGGAAAAACAAGGAGATAGGGGAAAAACCGGTTTCATTCCGTGAGTGCCGTGTCGCCCGCCTATCGCAGCTAGCAGACGACGCTTGACGTCTGAAAGACTGCCCCGGAGGAGTCACAACCGAAACTACGACCCACAGACACCGAACCCAGTTGTTTTGGCCGTTTGACGATTTCCTTTTCGAAGTCTGAGAGGTCGTCTGGCACCTAAAAGAGACCACTTCCCCCGATTCCCCGACTCACCGATCATCCTCTGCTACATGCGTCGAGCGCCGCCATGTTTTCCGAGGGAGGATACAAATCCATGGGAGGCGAGATGACATTGGACTCCGATTTTCGGTATTTCAAAAAGAAGGGCCGTAGTGCGTTCGCAATTGCGTTAAAAAAAAAAAAAAAAAAAACATGTTTTACAATTGCCATTATTAAATGTTATAAAAATGTTGCCTGCAAAGCTTCTAAACTTCACGATTTTTGACGTCACGAAACAAACGAAGCGAGGAGGTGAAAAGCGGAAAAGAAAAACGCGAAAAATAAAAAAGCGCGCGCGCGTGGAGAGTTTTTTTTTTTTTTTTCACGATGCGATATTGTTTTGCGTGTCTATGACTATAACTTACATCGTTTTAGACAATAAAAAAAAATGCGGCCTTTGGGGTGTCAGTGCCTCTTGAAGGCTTTGCGGTGTTTCCGAGATCAAATCTACATGCGCCTTTGTGTTACCCGAAATGGTCGTTCATAACTAAAGTTCCCTGTTTCCAAACTTTTTTTTTTTTTTTTCAGGTTTGAAAGATTTTTTTTTTTTTTTTTTGGGGGGGGGGGGGGGGGGGGGGGGGTGTATATTTTGCAACAGATTCGGTGTTTTTCGGTTTCAATTTTAGGTGTCGGACGAGAAATCGGCGTTTCGGGCCTCATGTTGAACAAACAGGACAAGAGCATGGAATTCTTCAGCCTGCAGAGATCATGCTCGAGCCCAGAATACTTGAAAAACGTCCCGGTACCTATAATAGAAGGAAACGAGATAAAGGGACTGGTGTCCAAAGAAAGTAGCCTCCTGGCGGACTGTTCAGCGTGGCTGTGTTCGAGGTAAACACAAAATAAAATTGTAGTTGAATATAGTTTTTCCCCAGAAACTTGTGTTTTTTTGTTTGTTTGTTTTTATGCGAAGGAAAGCCCTAATTCCGTGGTTTTACACTATTCCCAGATTGTGATAAATCCGGCTTGGGGGTTGATTTGTGCGGGTTTATCGGTATTTACCGAAAACACGGAACCCTACTCATAACAAGGGTTTTCTGTTTTCGGTAAAGACTGATAAACCCCGAAATTTATCCCGCCGTGCCGGTCTCATAAATATCAAGGGAAAACCCCAAAAAACGCCAAATCGGAGCTGTTCTTGATTAAGAAAAATACGAGCTTCACGGGAAGAAAACATTTTAACTACAGCTTTACTTTGTGTTGACCCCGAGCACAGCTCCAGTAAATCCTGCGTGAGACTTCTTGCTCCTAAAATATACTTTTTTTCCCTTCTTTTTCGTTTTCTCTTTTCTTTTTTTTTTATTAGTACGCGGGCGTTTTTTCAAATATTCGGATTACGCATATGTTCCCTTGAGGTCAAAGAATCTCGTGCACGTGTTCTATTTTTTATCAATATAAGCCGCAATAAACCTTGATTGTCCCTACGATACCCAAAATGAATAGCGAAAAACGTGGATTCTATTGTACAAAACAAAATAAACTCGAACTAACATCCCTAAAGTCGAAAAAAAAAATACCGAAGACGTGGAAGCCTGCTTATAAGATGGTCAGAAGTATTCCAAACCCACAGTTTAAAAAAAACAAAAAAAAAAAACACAGATGCGGAATCAGCAAGGGCTTCACGATATATGGCGCCAGCGTTTAATCTCCCTGTAAACAGAAACACATTCAAACGCAAATATCTGAACCAGACTTTAATAAAAATAAAAAAACCTCGGCAGATCGCTCCGATCACTCCGATAAAGATACCCGATACTCCGCAGCCGCCTTTGCGCATGCATCCTATCATTATCGGGGGCATCGGAGGTATCGGAACGAGATACCAAAACTTTCTATTTTCAGGAGCAGGTCAACACCGCCCGCCGTATTCAACCACCGGAAACGATACTGCCTGAGTGACACGGACCAAATTTCTTGTAGATCTCGCAGTTGACAATCTCCACGGACAGTGTCGTTCCAAAAACGGTCGTTCTCCGTTCTCCGCACGCGACCAGGCAACGGTGCCAGAGTCGTTCCAATAACGGTCGTTCCCCGTTCTCCGCACGCGACCAGGTAACGGTGCCTCTGGTTGCGATCCTAACGCCACCAGAGGGCACCACTCCGACGGGCACCTAGAAAGACTATTTCAGAACGACGCTCTTTTTGCGCAAACCTTACGTTCACCGTTAAAACGAAACAAACAATATAGTCACTTTTCACCGAGGGCAATGTGAACCCACCATTCCACCTGTTTTGTCACTTCTGTTCATATACATGGGCCGGGCTGATAGTGTAGCGAGTGCCACCGAACGGAGGTGCCATGAAAAGGCTTTAGGCAGTCTAGGAAGCCTGTCAACCGACTTTGATCTGCTACAGTAATGTAGCGGTGCAGCCGTAATAAAGGATCTGTCACACTCCGGCGTGGAGGCATCGAGTGCGACGTAGCTCAGAACACGCACCTTTCCATTGGCCGGCGAGCGGGAACTCGACGACCTCTTCAACCAGTCAGTATCTGTGTGCGCTGCGCTACGGCACGCCTGCTAGGCTCAACGTTGGGGTGTAACAGAGGCATTCGGTAGTGTTTTCAAAAGATAGCTTTTTATACGCAAGTTAGCGGGCGTCATTCGCTGAGTCATTCCTTATGCGCTAGTCGCTGCGTTCTGGTATTCAGTCCTTTGGGATTTCGCTCACGCTACGAGTTAATGAGGTAACTTGAGGAGAGACAAAAGTGTAGCGTCACGACATTCGTCATCGTTCTGTGTGTGTGTGCTCTGATCGCCTAAACCAATCAACGACCGTGAATGCACAGTGACCTTGCGCGTTTAGTATCTTTTTTTTTGTGCGCTTTTATGTGCTCTTACTTTCACTATACACTAGGATGTATGGTGCAACGGAGTAAGCTCACTATGAGCAGGCGAAATTTGCCGCGGGAGCTGCAAACGCTGCTCCTGCCCAATAACTCAGTTTTCATCAAAAAAAAAATCGGCACATCTGCGCATGCTCCGGATCAGCGTTACGTCACAAAAACTAGGTGACGAATAGCGTAATACAAGCGGCTTAAAATGTGCGTACCATCCTGCCTCCATTGCGCCGACCGTCGACCGAATGCCCAGCTTAAAACGACTTGGCTTTCCCTCATGAGGCCTCTTTCAGTGGGAAAGCCACCTTCACAAGACAAACTCATGACCATTCATAAAATAACGCAGTTTCCAAACTATATGGCTAGGTAGGTATCTGTCGCAGCCTCGAGGGTCAGAAAATAAGCAAGTCCTATATATAAAGGAATAAAAAAACATAAATAAACAAAACGAAAGCATTTTATCACTAAACAATTTAAAAATGGAGTAAAAAAATGTATCCAAGGTGCAATAATAGAAAACCTACATGGCCAATACCGGGACTCGCGAGTAATACAGTTCAATGTATAGACAATTGCAAGCATGGCGCCACGACTGGCGCCTAAGTGTTCAAGCACGTGAGGCGAGCGCTTGAGCGTAGCTTTGGCAAGCTTGGATTTGCACGGACTGATCTGCACGAGCAGGGACATGGCGGCGGCCTGTCGCCCCACTTGCAATCGTCTATAGTACAATTGAATATCTAGCTAATTATGACATATAATAATTGCAGACCGGAAACCTCACCGGGCATAAATCGAGGCACTTGGGAAAGTTGGCACGCTTGCAAATATCAGAAGACTAACAGAAATGGTAAGAATTATTATAGCAATATGTCAACCTGATGACACAGGAAAACGCAAAATAATCTTTAACGTAATTACACAGGCATAAAACAGGGGACTAGAAATGGAGATGCCGGTGATGATAACGTGAAATGTGACACAAAACTATCAGCCGGATATTAAATCAAAATGAATATGAAGCGTTTGGTAGGTGTCCCAGCGCAGTTTCTTTGCACGCTGTTAAGTTTGCACCGCTAGCAGCGGGCCGATCGGAAACGGGTCGAGGGCCGGGCGTCACTGCTAGAACCGCGGCCAATCGCGGGCCGGGGTTCGAAGATCCCTGATACAAAAGAAAAAGTTTGCGTTCGTTCTGGTCAGGAGGTGGCAAACTTTTGGAGCGACGGGCCGAGCCATGATGAAGCCGACACGGAGCGGGCCGTACGGGAAATCCCGAGGTGTTGTGTGTTTGTTTCTGTGTGTGTGTGTGTGTGGGAGGGGGGGGGGGGAGGGGGGAGGAGGAGTTGAGGAAAAGGCCAAAAGGAAGCGAAGACATTCTCTACTCAAGTGTAAGGATGCGGATAATGCCAATTGGAAGTGTTCCTTGTCCCTGTCTAACCCCATTTGAGGTCAAAACTGCCGAGTGGCCCTTGACTCTGTGTGAGGAAGCGGCAGGAAGTGGTGGTGGTGTGACGTCGACCAGGGGTTGACGACCCCTGGTCTTAGTGAATTAAGGGTGTAATAGATCACTTATTTAGTGAATATTTTCCAACTTTCTACTCTTATCACGCAGTGACTCGGTGCTGGGTGAAGGTGCTAGACGCGACCGAACGCTGTCAGAAGAAAAAGTGCCGAAAGCCATGCCTGTGAGTAGGCCTCTTTGCGAAAAGAGCCAAAGTCAGTTTTCTAAGCACTGCAACCCGTGAAAACTCCCCTACACGTTTACTGTTTCGAACATTTGTATATCTGTGGGACGTGTAGACGTTTCGTTGCGCACACAGAGCAAGTAATCCACAATAAGGGTACTCCGTAAACGAAAGACTCATCCCGATAGAAAGCTATCGAGCATGCTTCCCTAACCTTTGTTAGCTAGTTTCACAAGACACAAAATAAGGAGTTCGATTCTTTAGAAATATCAAAGAACCTTATGCGAAACAAAGAATAGGGACGCTGCTTTTCTAGATATTTAAAAGCAGCCTCCACACTCTAAAAAAAAGCCCGTGAGTCTGCTTTCCCGCACAACGCTCGGAGAGCGAATCACCGCAACTCACGGAGGCAGCTCAGCGAGTCACAATGCCGAAAGGTATGTTTAGACCAAAAAACGCAGTCCGTGTTGTGACATTAAGCAATGCAAAACGTCACGCTTGCATTGCTTAATGTCACAACTCAGACTGCGTTTTTTGGTCTAAACATATGTTTCGGCATCGTCATTCGCTGAGCTGCCTCCGTAAGTTGCGGTGATTGGCTCTCCCAGTGTTGTGCGTGAAAGTAGATGCACACACTTTTTTTAGAGTGCAGAAACGAAAGCTGGGGATGTCGCCTCTCTTGATATTTGAAAGTTCCGGGTAGCTTCTTTCTCAGGTGTATGCGGTCTGATTCTTTAATATAAAAGATAGAGAAACTGCTTCCCAAAATTTCTGTAAACTACGTCCACAAAGGGGAGTAACTAACTTCAGTAGAGGCAGCGACGAATGAAGGAGGCGTTACTTTTCTGATGCAGCGAATCGCAGTTCGAGACTTCAGTGACCCAGGATCCGTGGCCCGATGAGCTCTTCTTCATGCAGGTGAGTTTACCGCGTCCCAGTCGTGCAAATCGAGTTGTTTCTTAGGAAGTCAGCCTTTTTTGTTCCCCAGAGAAGTGGCGGGTATAATCACGCATATATTAGCACCTGAACAGAAGCTGGGAGGGGCGTTCTGAAGCCGCCGAGTCGTCATGTTTCCAGTTCAAGACAGTTCTTCACGATCTATATTCTGCCTGGTTGCCCCGAAATGAAATCATGATTATGCGGCACGTAATACGCTGCAGGGTCCGTGGCCTAAAAATTAAGAGTGAAATATTCAAAATTATAAAGAATAAAAAATTAAGAATAAAATATTAAAAATTAGGAATGAAATATATAATACTTCGGTGCTAAGATGATGAAGACTAATGCCTTAATCTCAACAACGGCTTCAAGCTCCACCCTGATAATATAACGAATTTAAGAACGTCGTTCAATGAGCCAACTGAAGTGCAGTCCTCGCATTCTGGAGACGAATGATGCGATCGGCCGTTAAACATGAGCAGTGACGAAGCACGTTTCGAATTACGACGAATGGCTCTGCAAAATCGTGAAGCCTTCAGCCTTTGTCCCGTCTCAACCGAAAAGCTACATGAACACTCTTAACACTAATCGTGCTAAAATAAAAGTAATTAACTGTCCTTTATGCATTCTTGGCCCGGTTAATAAATCATGTTTGTATAGATTGCTGTGATAACTGATATAGTTTCGTCCATGAGGAGTGAAAAAAGGAGGACAAGTTCTATTGTTCCGCTGGCACCATTTCCAACCCCAAATCACGAGGAATCCACTCAATTATGTTTGCTCATCGTTGTGACGTCATTGGTTCAAACGCTTGTGGGATTTCCGTCGCGGCTAGCCGTCTCGGAGAATGACGCAACGCACTGGCTCAACAACACGTAATCATTCATTAACTCTTATCGCCCGCGCCGCGACCTAACCCCCCCCCCCCCCCCCCCCCTCGCATACGTCGCGACGGCTTTTTATCAGCGGCGGAGCGCCGCTCGCGTGGCCAATTGCACTTGACTCCCCCATGGTGGAAATGTTCACGGGGTAGCCAAGTGGGAAATGACCACGGGGGAGTCAATCTGGGGGGCCCACATGCCCAATTGGCATGTTGGCAACGTGGTCCAACGCTTCAAAAAACCAGGTTTTCCACACACTGCACGCGACATTGTTGTTGTTGTTGGTTTTTATTTGCATCAAATACAGAGTACATGATACTGGAGGCTTGCGGAAAAAGCGGTCACAAGACCAGCTTGACAAAGCCACAGGCCCCCACATTGGCATTTGCAGCACTAAAAAGAAAATTATCAACATACCATACAGACTACAGCATTAACAGAAAAAGCAAGATAAACAGAATTAAGAGAGGCAACAATGTTCACACTCAAATTACGTAACAACCACGCAATTGTGGGATATCTTGAAAGGCGTGCGGAGTGACCTCACCATATACGCGTAAATTTGTCCGCTCCGCCTCTTTGGTGGGGGAGAGGCCATCGTCGTCGCGCGAATGAGAGAATATGAGGAATTTTGCGTTAAAACCTGTGATTTCACGGGCACTTCAAAAGAAAAAAAAAAAGAAGGAAAAAGGTACGACGTCGAGTTTTTACTTAGATTTTACTATTAGTTAATCTGGAATTTTGTGGAGAATATTTTAATCAAAGGAAGTGACAAATGCTCGTATTTGTGGTCGGGGCGGTTGCCCTTAAAGGCCGACGTTCAAGCTCGGTTTTCAGCAAAGAACATAATCTTCTGAGCATACTCCACTCTCAAACTGCTCAAACTGTGAGGGTAGTGAATGAGGAAAAGAACAAAACTAGGAGAGGACAACAAGGCTCCGCGCTCACGCGCAATTCACTCAGAGGGAACTGCTTCAAGCCAACACTTTTCTATATAACAACGCCGTAGTGCTGAATTTTCTGTCACCTACGTGAGACATTGGTGGCTAATCCGCGCTGGGCGTTGACTTTTTTCAGCCGACGCGGAAACTTCCCAACTAGGGATTTACATTGTTGTCTATAGTCGGTGGCGTTCAAGCTGCGACGCCGTAATGTCACGTCACCCAATATGGTCACGTGGTTGGTTGTGATGTCACGTATCACCGCGTCACGTGACACGCTATCCGTGGTTGCACATTCTGTGCCTCCCGACTTTATTTGCGGAACTATAGACGCTTTGCAGCAGCTGTGCATGGACGCCGCCATAACTGACCTTCAGTTTTTGTTTCCCCTTATTCCGTTTATTTCACTTCATCATTACCATAGCAGGTCAGGTTATTGCCATATTAGATTCAACTGTGTCCTTTTCTAAAGCATCGGCCTTTGTAGAGGATCTTCAACTACCGTTTCAGTTGCTCGGCATCTCGGTAAGACAAGAGAAGGTCAGCAATGGCGGCTGTAATTTGGCGCGTGTGTAAAGCGTCTATACAATGCGCCCATTTTTCGTCCTGTAGTCTGATGCAGCGTACAAAGCTGAAGCAAAGCCCCTGCGAAAAAGCTCTCTTCTCACCATGACGGGTGGTTTTATCCTCTTCACTCGCCTTTCTCTCCCGCGTTCGCTTTGCTAGAGTGGAAGAAGTGAAGGGTGTTGTTGGAGGAACTATGTAGGTACAAATGAAGTAGCACACAAGAGACAAAGACAAGAGAGCGGGCAGGATATCTAAGAAAATGCGATACGCCCCTCTACAACGAGCCTTTTGTGACTGGAGAAGCAGAAAACAAAAAGCACATTTGCAACATCGGATTTTTTTTTCTCCATGCAGGTTCTCTTTAATGACGTCCCGATTGACCAATCAGCCGCGCCGCCGTTACAGGGGTGGGGCACTCGCCACGTGTTGGTTATTCGACGGCGATGGGGGCGTCTCGGATGTGCTTGTGCGGGCGGCCGAAAGAGGGCACTTCGGGCGCCAGTTGGGCCTGTTGCTGCAGCGCCGTCTGGGGGGAGACTGCCGGCGGAATGCGGTTGATGACCGTGGGCGCCGCTTCGGGCGCTCTCGTCGCATTCACACACGCTGCACGAAAAGACAAAAAGCCACGACCGGTGTGACGTCGTCGCCACGCTTTTGCCTATACGGTGAAAAACTGGGAGAGAGGGGGAGATGGGCTTACGCGGGAATGTCAAAGCGCCAAGCTCAGAATGAAATGATTAAACGACGTACACGCAGAGGATATTTATACACGTTTTTCGTTTCCTTTGGTCTCAGTCACGTGGGTTTTATATCTGGTATGGGGGTCGAAACAAAAATAATAAGACATTTCATCCTGAAAGACGCGAGGAAATACAAGTGAGGCAGAACAAAAATGTGTAACAATCACGCTTTTTTTTTTTTTTCGGTGGTTTTGAGATCAAAATAATGTTTTGACGCGTACCAGACGTGACGACATTCAAGATGGCCGCGCCCTCGTGGAAAGGGTGTATGTATACTCACGGCCCGATCCCCCGTTGAGCGCCACCATTCCCAGCCCGCACTCGCAGTGACTGTAGACGCAGCGGGCGTTGAGGGCGGCGCAGTCGGCGTGCTTGCCGCAGCGGGCCCGCAGCCCACCCGAAGGTCGAGGCTCGCAGCGCGAGGCGTCCTCCGAGCGTCCGTAGCCCGGTCTGCACGCGCACCAGCCCATGGGCACCACGCAGTCGCTGAACGTCGTCGCACACTGCTCCTGCGGTCGCCGACGGTGCACGCGCGGGCGCGCGTGCATTCCTTGAACTTGTGATGGCTCGAAGCTGAGCTATAGTTGGTTCATGCTTGTTAAAGTGCCAGCTGAACGTTTTAAGGACACACACACAGAGAGACGAACAAAAAGCCAGCGGTGTGTCTGCCTTTTTTGTTCGTCTCTGTCTGTGTGTGTGTCCTTAAAAGTTAGCTGGCACTTTAACATTCCTCGAACATTCGAGTTGTTCGAGGAAATGAAATGCGGGAAACAGACGCACTTTGATACCTTAGCCCCATGTCAAAGGTAAATAAATAAATAAAAAAAAACGCCGAATGGCAGAGCAAGACAAAACAAAAAAAAACGTGCCTTTCGTGTAAAGCTCGTTAAAATACTAGGGGCTGGAGAAAATGAGCCATCTGCGTTAAAGGGATACGGAAACGAATAGACGTGAGCACGAGTTCTCTTCCCCTCGCTTCAAGGTCGGCCAGCGAACCTCGTGACGTCATTAGTTCATGCACGGTCAAAGGTACTCAGTCTAAAAAAAGAAGGGTGTAATCTTACACCTTTTTGTCCCATATAATACACCCAAAAACTTCAGTTCGACGTAGTGTACTGCCGTCGAACTGACGGTCCCAACTTTTACGAGGGGCTTGATAACGGTGCGATATAACATCCAAAACAGCTAAAGTATACGTATCAAAGACCACAGAAAAAGGGTAACAGTGAAAGCTATGGACCATAGAGATTCTATAAGGTAGGGAGGAGGGGCAGTTGAAACTTCTCTATAATATCCTTAACCACACCACCTCGCGCGGCTGCCGGATAGATTGATGGGATGACTACGAGCTTCCTTGCGGCTACCTCCGGCAGTTGATTGATATTAAGGTATCGACGTTTATCGAAGCCACACTTGTGGGCGACTTTTGTCGTGGGACAAATTAGTATTGCCGATGACACCAACGCCAGATTCAACTGAAGATATCTTAATTGATACAAGCGCGTTTTATTTTTTTATCTGGCATACGTTTGCATCCGGTTATTACTTATTATTTTTTTAATAAGAAACACAGTGAAGTTAATCTCCGAATTTTGGAAAATTGTGGATTTACGAAAAATAAACTCCAATAAACACCGAATTTTTGCTAAAAAATAAACTCCGAAAAACACCCTCCGAATTTCACGAAAAATAAACTCCCAAAAACACGGAGCCCTAAAAAAAAAAAGTATATTCTTGCACCCTTTGTTTCATATAATGTATATGAGACAAAGGGTGCAAGAATATACCTTTTCTTTTGTTCTTAGAGTGCTGTAGTTGCGAGCCTTACCGCTTGGTGACGTTAACGCGTG